TTCTTTGATCCAGAAATGTTACCCACACAATAACCCTTTGGAATATTTGTTGGGAAAGTATTGCCAAAAAAACAATAAAAATGGGGGGTCGACTTCTTCGGAGCATGGTGCAGACTTTTGTTTCGAGCTTTCAATGTATGGTTTCTCCAAGACTGAATTGCAGATCGCTTGTAATTTCCCATATATGTTTATCGGTAGAAATAAACTAGACATTCAAGTGTTTTTGTTGGAGTTGAGGGCAACGTTCCTGTAATGGATATGTGGGTGTCCACTGAAGTTTTTTCCAGTACCGGCCACCAGACGGCGACGTCTTTAAAACCATATAGTTCCCATATTTTACCTTTTACATGCGAGCTTACTATCTAAGCTTATTCCTAGGCAGGTGGCTTATACCTTCTTATTACATTATTAAAACCTTTGTTGATATCTCTCCCTAGACCTTTCAAAGCTCGTTGTCCAAAATATTGAAATCGAAATTGATCTTTATCCTTAAAATATTTCCTTACAGTGAAAATTATTGCTATTTGGCGCAATAAACCAAACGGAATTAGTTTTAGCGAGAAATATGGAAAGAGTTTTGAACGAGAAAGTGAGAAAAAAATATTATAAGCAGGTAGTTGGACCCAGTCAAAGGATTCTTCTTTAACCAATTGAAAAATACAACGATTTTTGATTAAAAGCGCTCCATAAAACATATTATGAAAGAACTGAACACTACAGAGCTTTCTATTAAAAGGACTGAGACCAACTCAAAACTAGATATTTACACTGTTTACTAATTTACAAAACATCATTAAAAAAAAACAACAATAAATATAACAGCTTCGTCGATTTTAACGTGGAAACGATTGTATGTGAAGCAAAGAGGGGACTAACATTTATTTCATTTGTTAAATTGATATTTAAGAATCTTTTGTAATTGAAATATATCTCTTCAACGTTAATCTTTCGGATCGTCAATTTTTTTTACCACAAAAAATATGCCTCCATATCGGCTACCTTTTGCCACACAGGTACAGGTACCTGACAGGATGTCCAATGTGAAAGGTAGAGGGTGGAACATAAAGTTAACTTTTTAACCCTCTGAACTTATGTTATCGGGGCTGCTAGCAAGCAGTACTTGGTGGCTCGCAAACTCTTTCCTAAGATCTCTCTTATTAGAATATTTTTTAAAGAGCAAAAACAATTATGATTATAATATATGACGCACGTTTTGTGAGACACTGTCAAATATCCTCGGTTTGGTCTATTATTTAACCATAAATCATAAGCGAACAAAGTTTGCAAATTATTGAATTTTATTAGCCAAATGTGTACCATGTTAAGAAATTTCAATTCAATTCTTTTTCAGCTTAATGGGTGGTAAATAAGCAGAATTTGGAGCGAAACCAGAAGTATTGCAAGAGCATCATTGGACCGCACTTCTTCAAAGATGATGCGAATCGTTACGTAACTGTGATATCAAACTTTTTTTGTCCAAAAAGCAAGAGCTTGACTTGCATAACACGTGGACTTATTGAGAGGCGAGTTCGGTGAACATTTGATTTCACGTTCGGTACCTGTCATTTGGCCGCCTAGATCGTGCGATTTGAGAGCATTTATCAACAACACTATTCAAGTTTAAATGATTGTCTTCTATTCTAAGGATTTCCTTTTCGCAGTCAAGAGAATAGAGGTTGCCCACTTCGCGATACTGCATCCGACCACAACACATCACGGTGCTATAGATACCGAAACTAAAAAGGGAAACGTGACAAATGCCTGGGTAAGCGAAGCTTAAGAAGTTGGTCAAGACACAAAAGTTTTACGAAGAAATGCGGAGCTTAACGGAAGGTTTCACGAGCGGACCCATAGAGGTGATCAAGTGAATGAAGCTTAGATTATAATGAATTTATAACAGAGACATTTCTCTAATAGGCTGAATGGCAGTGAAAATAAAATAACAAAAGATCGCGAACTTCATTTCCCAATCGGGTGAAATGAAACAAGTATTCTATTGATGTTAATGAAGATGAATTCTATAAATTCGGCAAATAAGATAGTGGGTTTGTATCAACTAAATTTTTGACTAAAGTTCTTCCTTTCCTTTTCACGCTGAATAATATCATGTCCGAACAACTTGAAAAAATCCGCTGCAATAAAGAAAAATAAGTGATTCGGTTCAGACTGGAAAAACTTTACTTAAAAAAGAATCCGTGAAATGACGTGGGATCAACTTTTGTAGCTTCCGAATTTTTTTAATCATGAACCGTTGAAACGAATTTGAGGTAAAACTCGCTACTAATAAACACATTCGCTGATAACGGTTATTGTTTTTTGGTTTTTCACTTCTCTGACTTTTTTTTTTATTTTTTTTTAGCACTTGCAATTCAACAGCAGATTTTTAGACTTTTGCAATGCCACTCAGCTCTCGCAACTGCGCTCATCTTCTCCATATGTTGCACATACCGCAAAATGCTTAAATTATGCAATTGATGATGTTTTTTTTCGATTCTTTTCCTACTTCAGGAGCTGTTATTGTTATTTTTATTTTGCAGCCACGAAGTAAACAGATATTTACTCCTACGTGTGTATGTATGCAATAAAAGAGGAAAATAACCGAACTCATAAATGTTACGAACCGCAGTGAAAGCAGAGAAAAATATAAAAGCAGCTTAAGCTTAGAGCCACATGATGCGCCGCTATGCCACACCTCGCTTCTCCCTTCAGAAGCATGAACTAAGGAAACGCCCAGAAGTCAGAGTGTCGGAAGGAATCACCATGGGGGTGCGTTAACTCTTGCTAGTGCCGGAGCGGGTGGTCGGCATGCATGTACGATTGCCTGCATGTTCCATATTGTTGCCATTAAGCGGCCTGTTAGCCCGGATTAAGGTTTGTCTGCATTAATATGAGCTCGTCTACCACCAGCTTTGCCGCAGTGTAGGAAATACATAACAGCGTATTTCCTATTTTATTTGATCGCGCGCACACACACTTACTCGCATGCATACTTATGCGCTCATTTGTTGCTGTTTCCTTTTCCTTTCGGCGAGGGAGAAAAAATATCTAAGCTCAAATCAAAAAGGTAAATGTGCAAGGTAGCAGAGAAATATTCAAAGGAAAATGAATTCGACCAAAATATTTACGAATGTATAAATGTGTATGTGAAAATAATACACATAGCTAGAATATCTACAATTGTAGCTTTATAGACGTTGAAGTGATTTTCGGCCGAGCTCCAATTATTGGTGGGCATCTTGATGTTGTTCCAACAAATGGAGGGACATGCAATTTATTTTAACTCGCCTCCGAGCCGATGGATTTTTATGAGAAGCTTTATATTTCATGTCGGAAATACACTCGGAGGCTTGAATTTCCCTGCCGAAGGTCGGCCGCATTTAGAAAAATTTGTTTTCCATAATCTTGGATGTCGAACCTTGGCCTTTTTATTAGTAGTCTATAATGCACACCACTTGGCTATTACGGCCGCCATTTCAAATGCAAATAAACACACCGGCGCTGATAAGACTTGGACTTAAATGGTGTTTACCGTCATAAGCCGCATGTGATGAAAGTCATTGCTGCATGTTATGTGTAGGGAAAATAGTTTCTTTATTTCTCATAGTGATTAAATGTAGTGTGCAGAGGATCAACATGAGCAGGAAGAGTTGTATGTTTTTTGCTTTGGTATTGGGATTAAACTCAACTTATGAGGTAAAAAATGTAGGTTCGTACACACTCAAAAGCTCATTCTTACAGAGCTTTACCGTTGCAAATATTGAGAATTGTTATGAAAAAAGATCTGAAGTTTTGTATGATGGCAGTTACTTTGTCATTAGTCGGAGCATGCCGAGTTAACAGTAGAGTGCTAGTCTTTTTTTTTTTTGAAGACACCAAGTGAAGCCAACTTTCTTTTCACCTGATCTTTCCAGCCTCTTAATGTGCCTATGCCTTCATTGACTGGCTACCTCGGGAACTTTCAACGGTATATTACTTTCAACCGAACGATATAATCTTAGCATCGTAACTGTTGTCTCTTAACTCTCTCAGTTCATCATTCCATTGTTTGGTTTTGCAAATGCAGATAAGGTTCATAAATCATTCCTAAAATCTTTTTATCGAAGCCCTAAACCGTACATGCTACTGCACCATATCTTCTTCATACTTTTTTCTCGAAGAGTATCAAAGACTATCAAAGCCGACTAATCGGATGCCGTCTATGTTCTTGATAATTACCCTATAGCAGCATGAGAATAATGGTATTTCGTACATTGAGCGAGAAGTAAACTTTTTAAATGCCTGCTCAATCCTAAGTAGCACCAGTCGTCAAGCGTGATTCTGGTTTGAACTTGAAAGTAAAACTGTCATGTTAGAGCGAAAAATGCGCCTTTGTTTGATGGCGGGGAATATTTCATCTTGTACTCGTTCATTTATTTCTCTCATTTCGAAAAAGCAGAGCTCAGATATCAATATAATTCGCAATCGTCAGCAGTTCTTCATTCTTATAAAAGCATATGCCCTTTTTGATAAGCTTCATAGCTCGCATCAGTTATACGATAATATATTTCACTCACACAGAAATGACCCTAAAATTTTCTCTGCGGAAACTTCTTGTCAAATTTTCTAACATTTGCTCTTTCGGTCAGCTCAACCGGTGTATCTCATTAACGTATTTTAATATATTTCCCTCTCCCTTTCTCCCTCCTATTTTAAAAGCCAAAAACTTAGCAATATCATTTATACATAAATTTTCTTACCAGAAATAAAATTATTTAATATTTATCCGCACCCAATCTTCGAATGCACAATAATTCAACGGCAACTTGCCGCTTTCCAAAAATAAATGTGTTCCAAAAAAGACACCGAAAGCTTCCAATGAGCTTTAATATTTTCATTTCATATACATATTTATCCATATGTACGGATGTATGTACATTTTCATGGACCACTTTGGTGAAAATTCCATATGAAAAATGAATTTTTGAGTGGCAAAAATTATTAGTTGCTTGTGGGATCTGACGGTGTAGAGAACGGTGTGAAGATCAGATCGAAGAATAGTTAGCATGTTTTTATACTTTCTGTGATTTAAAATACATATGAAAAATGTTAAAATACTTTTTTAGCCTTTTATTGGCTTGTTTCTGCGTGAAAAATGCACAGGCCTTGCAGCCACTCAATATCGGTATGAATTTGTGGAGGAAAAATAAAAAATTAAATTATAAAAAAAATTAATATAAATAAATTTTTCTTCCTACAAATTATTAGGTGCAATATTTTTCGAAAATGAACTCGATTTGGAACGCACTTTTATTGCCACGGTGGAGAGCATAAACACGGCAAGGGAGACGAACTTCAAATTGTTGCCACTTATAAGGCGTGTAAGTGAAACGGACGGCAGTTTGATCTTGCAGCGCGAAGGTTTGATTGGAAATGCACTAACTTCAGACATAAATAACAATAAAAAAATTCATTTCTTTTATGACTACAGTGTGCGATCTCATTGATAATAGTGTTGTGGCTATTTTTGGGCCAAGTTCAAAGGCAGACAGCGGTGAGTATGCGGGAGGGTAAAAATCTATGCGTACGTATTGTCTACACACGACAAAAAATACATATTCATTTTTTTAAATTATTTATTTTTTCATATACTTGTGTACATACGTATATGCGTCTACATATTTGGGTTATTCGTGTCGTAATTAATTTTTTTTTTTATTAAATTATTTTAGTGTTGTTTGTAAATATTTAGCTAAATTTAGTTTCACTCTTTCTCGCTCTCTCATCACATTCCACTCTCTTTAGACATTGTTTCGGTGATTTGCAATGCCACCGGCATACCGCACATTGAATTCGACATAAGTCAGGAGGAGACGGGGGAGGAGAAAATCAATCACCAGATGACGTTGAGTGTTTTTCCTGCACAGCTGATACTCTCCAAAGCTTATTCGGATATAGTGCATTCAAATGGTTGGCGTAAATTTACAATTGTTTATGATGCCGATGATCGTGAGTACTGTTAGTTCATTGACTTGATTATTTATTTCTGAGTTTTTGTTTTTTACTTTCGCAGCAAAAGCACCAACACGTCTTCAAGATCTCTTGCAATTGCGAGATATACACAATGATGTTGTGCGTGTGCGGCAATTCCGACGCGGGGATGAGTATCGAGTCATGTGGAAAAGCATAAAGGGTGAACGTCGTGTTGTATTGGATTGTGAACCGGATTTGTTAATCGATTTGCTCAATTCCTCCATACCATTTGACTTGACGGGGCAATTTAATGTGAGTAATTGGATTAAGTGACACTTACTGACTGCTGCGCGGTATGTTATGTAGACCAGTTTATCTAGTTTGCGATGCCAGTTAGAGATTAAACCTAAAATGAGATGTGAAAGTTTTCGTTTTTGCGCAGTTTAGGAGCGCCCTAGCGTCTAGTTCTGAATGTCTAAACAACTAGCCAACAAAATCGTGCAGGCAAATACTGAAGTCAGGTCATTCTCTCCCTGATCCTTCCAATGGAGTGGAGGTCTTCCTCTTCGTACAGCTCGTATAGCTCATCATTCCATCGTCTACGATATTTGCCGTTGCTGTTGCGAAGACTTCCAAAGCCGACTCATCAGTTGCTGATATCGTCCACGCTTCTACTCCGAATAGTAGAACGGGTAAGATGAGCGACTTGTAAAGTTTGGTTTTCGTTCGCTGATAGAAGGCACCTGTTATCAAGATATTCATGTTTTCAACAGTTTCAGTAACCAATATTAGGAAGTAGTGTAGCTGGAATCGAAATGTGAGAGAGTTAACTTAGAATTTTAATTATCTGGGAAAATGTGCACAGGCTTTAAAAGATGCATTCAGATAAGGGTTTTCTCTAGTTGTAGCTGATAGAGAATCGTTGCCATAATGAGAATGACTGCCTTAAGCTTAAATGAAAAGCTCTTAATGAACCCGCAGGGGGCGAACAGTTGTTCTCTACGGAATTTTATAGCTTACACTCATTTCCTCTACCAACCCAACTAAGCCAGACAAATTGAAGGCTTAATGATCCAAGAACGAAGTAGGATAATAATGGAACACATTGCCCCGGAGGCTCAATGTTAGGGCGTGAGTGAAGGACACATCAGCGATCACCTTTATATTTGCTTCTACTCTACTTCTTCTACTCTCTCTCGACTGGATCTCTATTCCGATTGTTGAGGCAAAGTTTTTTCCCCAGTGCTATAGTAAGAACAGCCTAACGGCGGCCATGAACGTCTTGAATATTGACCGCGTGTTACATCGTTATTCCAACGAGTATAATAGAATGTCGCTGCCGGTGGTGACAAAAGAGGCAGGTGCATAGGACAAAAGGTTCGTCTTAAAATGAACTCTGTAATAGCTAAGTGCTAACTGCCAAGCATTGCATATCTTCTAAGCCAAATTACTTACGAAAAATAGACTAGTAGACCTTTTTGTGTAGAGCAGAAGAGGAAGAGGTAACATACATATTTATGTAGTGGGCACGTAGGTCCAACTTTAATTTAGCACAAAGTCGGCCGTTGTTATACCATGTAAGGAAGCGGTCGAAAGATTGGCTCAGAAAGGTAAAACTCTCACTTACAGAGTGCCTCTGCATAGACATTGGGACAATATCTAAGAATGATCTTACCAGTCCCATGCAAGACAGGCTCAACTAACGATCACCCTTCGAGCGGTGAACAGAGCTTAGTAAAAATTTAATGCAAATTATATGATTTGAAGCTTACTAACTTCTCACAAGCGAATAATTGCCTAGACTAAATCCTACAGGTGGGACTATCAACGAAACGCTAACCTTCAGTTTAAATCTGGTAGAAGACAAAAAGCATAGGAATGTGCTGAGACTTTGCGGGTGGGCAGTTTGGAGGTGTTTAGACAATGCACATATCTCGTACACCGTCAATTTGGACCAGAACTAATGCACAAACGATTATAAGCGAACCGCAAATACACTCCCTAAAAAACAGTTAGTGCGAAATCGGAGTAAAGTGATCTCTTTTTCCGCTGTAATCCAGTAAAAACTCTTTAACCGCTCTTACCTCAAATACTTCAGCAGGGTTTGCTCCGGTACCTTGGGCGGTTAGCTCTTTCTCTGACAAAATCTATACATATATTTATATTTCTAGTTAACTTTACCAAAACATAACTCTCTTCAATTTCCATATGCAGAACTTGTTACTCACAAATCTAGAGGCGCACAATGCGAATTTGGAGGTTTTGCGTGATAATGAAACCTTTGCACTCAATATAACAGCGGCAAGGCTAAAAATGAACGGAAATTTCTATGTAAGTTTATCGGTAACACTATGGGAGTGGAGGCAAGTGTTTGCTAACTCTCTTAACATTTTCTAATGATTTAGAATACCAATCCATGGCAGCAAGCTTCACTGTACAACTTGGACGAGCTACCCGAACAGCCGATGCGAACACTACTTCACGATTTGCTGTACGATGCGGTTAATCTTTTCACGAATGCATTACGAAATGTCAGCTACAGTTATCAGATTCGACCACCTCGTGTGCGTTGTGATTTCAGTGAGTATGGCCGAAGGCAGCCTTGGGCTATGGGGCGTTACATACATCGCGTGATGTTAGCGGTAAGTTATATACTGTTTATTTTGGTATTCTTTCAATATTTAAGTTGGTATATTTTATTTCTTTTTTCTTGCTTACACTACTACAATACTATTCTCGTTTCACGTCAGACATCTGGCGTCAATAACACAGATTATCGCACGAGTGACCTGCAATTTGGCGAGGATGGCCAACGCATTAATTTTGGCATAGAAATTTTTGAACCATTAGATAATTATGGCATCGCCTTCTGGGATACAAAGGGCCAAATTGTGCCGCAACATGTAGTGGTGAGCAATTTAAAGAAACTTCGTTATCGTGTGGCAACGCGTATTGGTGAGCCATATTTTATGGAAATGTGAGTATCCGATAGCCTACATATCAAAGTGTTTAAGTAGTTAAATATTAAAATGCCTACACATTTTAGACCCGAAATGGTAGAGCAGAATGTTACTGGCAATGAGCGCTATGAGGGCTATGCGGTGGATTTGATTAAGGAATTGGCTGAGCGCATGAATTTTGAGTATATATTTGTGCCAGTTGCGGATCAACAATATGGAAAATATGATCCAACCACTAAGCAATGGAATGGCATCATTGGCGAGATCATCAATAATGTGCGTATTTACTAGATATGTTTTTCTAAATTTTATTTATTTTATTATAGTTTGTTTTATATAATATTATTTTACTTTAGTTTAATTTGTGTAACATATTTTATTTCGTACAATTCTTTTAAGTTAATTGACTTTTATTTTATTATACTATATTTTACTTTATTTTATATTATTATTTATCTTTTGACTTTTTATTTTTTAATTTAATTTTTCAATTAAACTTAATTTCATTTCTCAGAATTTGATATATTTTTTTTAATCTACATTGTATTATATTAATTTAATTTAACTTAGAGTTATTTTTTATATTTTATCTCATTTTATTTGATTTTATTTTAATTTATTTAATTTTATTATGTTTTTTTCTTTGATTTTATAAATTTTAATTATATTAATTATTTAGTACAATTTAATTTAGCGAAATTTAGTATATTTGATTTTTTATTTAAAATCCATTAATTTTCTTTTATTTCATTTTATTTTATTTTATTTTATTTTATTTTATTTTATTTTATTTTATATACTTACTTCTATTTCCAACTGCTAATATTTTCTGTTCGTCATTTTTGAGGATTAGGTAGGTATACCGATATCAATAAGAAGAGCCCACTTTTCCTTTTTCTGGACAAGAATAACTTCTGACCTATCAGTGAGGATCATGCCGTCCCATTATATTTTACGTTCTCTCTCGTTCAATCTCTGTAACTGCAGCAGGCTTATATTTGTAGTAGGGCATCTCTTCTCTTAATAATTTCGTACGTATAGCAAGATTCCGATTGATAATTTTTGGCACATTGTTATGCAGCATCAAGTATTCAGTAGCCGCTGGCATAATACCCGCCCCTGTTATATTGTGTATATCTTCTTTTTGTTTTTGGGGCTCTCCAGATCTGTCGTTGTCGCGTCGCACCGTGTTTCATTAGCAGTGATTGCTTTTTCCCGTTTTCCAGTTCCGTATTGAAGAATTCTTCTAGTTTGCTTAAAAGCTAAATATTTGCAGGTATCGTAAGTGTCTAACGCTTGTATATATTCGCTGGCTGTTAGTGGGAAATTTCGTGACACTAGTTTAGCACTTTGCACACTGAGTGCTCTGCAATTGTCTAGCTTAAAGGGCCAGCATATATCCACGGGAAATTCCTGCGTTATTTCCAAAAGCTCATTAATATTGCATTAAGATCCTGCATGAAGCTTAACATCGTCCATATAGAGAAGGTGAGAGAGCTTAAAGGGCAATGTGTCCGCGTTTTTTATTTTGAACCAAGCTTCGGATTAATTAAGGACGAAGGAGAGCGAAGGAGTACGAAGCAAAACCACAAAGGACTAAGGGGAAAGTTAGTTAGTTAGAGGTTGAAAAATATATATTTTTTTTAAATTTTTTAGAGGAATATGGGAAAAGAAATAGAATTTCTATTTAACAATTTTCTTTGAGTATATATTAAAATATAGGAAAACGTTGTTTAATTGTTATTTTGTTACAAAATGCGGTGATAAGGTCCATTACTTATTGCATGTTTGTTTTTAAGGCGTCCACGTGAGGACCGTTTTCTTCTTAAGGGTGAGACCTAAAAAAAAGATCAAAAAGTTTTATGATTTACAAACTATGTTTTGAAAATATGGACGCATTGATTTTTCAACTAATTCTTGGTTGAATTCTGACTAAAAAATATGCACTAAATTACTACAAAAAATTTTCGTTTAAGCGAGAAACGGCTACCTACTTCAAAAAAATGTATTTTTGAAGCATCCATCGAAATTTCGAATAAATCGATTCAATGGTTCCGACCAATCTGTCCTCTCAGTTTGAAAATGATCACTGTGAGAAAAATGTCTTTAAAGTTTTTATTGTACTCAGCGCATCCTCTGAGGCGCTGCAGAAAAATAAGAATTTTAGCTATTTGAAATATTCTTTCACCTTAAAACCAGTTGCATATCCTCACTTTGGGTCCCTTGTGAGGAAAAAAAAATTGTGTTTTCCAAAATCTTGGAGTGGCTTTACCCCTTAAGCAAAACAATGCAAAATACCTCTTCTTAATAATAGGTACGGCAGTTGACTGTGACTTTGCAAGTGTCTAGCTTGTTTTAAAATTAAGTCTTTCACTCAATTAAATTTTTTCATTAAATTTTTAGCAATATTTATTACATTTGTTGCTACTTTTTATGTGTAAGCGTAATACTTTTAAAAGAAAAGTACGCTTTCGTAAGCCTTTTGGTAGTCAATATATGCTCAATATATAATTCTTTGTTTGTGGTATGCCTGCTCCATTATGAGAAGTGCATAAACATGTAATTGTAGTTATGAATATTTTCGGGGCCTGTTAGCTAGCAGTAGTGTGTTTATTTGATGACATAGCTTATAACTTTTTCTATTAAATATCACTTTAATAGAAAAGGATATAAGCGTTTCATTTCCTTGATTTGTTCAGCGTCTTCTTCTTCGGTTCTTATCTATATTTCTTTTAAATTGTCTGTTTTTTCATGTGCCCATATTGCTGACCAGAACTTTTCAAAGTAACTCGCCTCCGGCACTTCATTAGAGGTTGTTTTATCGTTGAATTGAGTTGAGTTTTGCCTCTTTTCGGATTTCTTATAGTGTATTTCTGCCCAAACGATTTACTTTTAACGCAAGTTTTTTTCACAGTGTATCACGCAGGATTTCAGCTATAGTGTTTAATTATTTAATTTAATTTAATTTAATTTAATTTAATTTAATTTTATATATTGTTATGATTTTTATTTAATTTAATTTAATTTTTTTTTTTAATTTTAATATTACATTATATATTCTTATTTTTGTTTTCTTTAATTTAATTTACTTTAAAATATTTATTTTGGTAAATTATATATTTTCACACATTTTTTCCCTTTGCTTTTAGGATGCTCACATGGGCATATGTGACTTGACTATTACACAAGCCCGACGTACCGCGGTTGATTTTACTGTGCCCTTCATGCAATTGGGTGTTAGTATTTTGGCATATGAGCAGACTGTGGAACCAAAAGCTTTGGCTTTCCTGGACCCATTTAGAGCAGAAGTCTGGATATATGTACTAATTGCCATATTTGTGATATCATTTTTATTCGTGGTTTCTGCAAGGTAGGCAATCGACAAATATGTGGACTGTACATTTTAGTTAAGCATCTGATTCTGTGGTTCCTGCGTAGGACGGCGCGGATGAAACACAAATCATAATAAAAATATCTTGATGCTTTCCCGCCATAATGCTTATGCAATTACACAGATATCATGATTTTTTTTTACAGAATTGCAGAAGATGAATGGGAGAATCCTCATCCATGCAATAAAGATCCCGAGCTTTTAGAGAATAAATGGGGTTTATTTAATACGTTCTATTTGACAGCGGCCTCTATTATGCAGGCCGGTTGTGACATGTTGCCCAAGTAAGTAGCACCGAGTGAAGTTTATTTATTAATTTTTTAAAATCGCATTGTCTTCCATAATGTAACTCTTACAGAAGCGCGCCATTTCGTACATTCACCGCGATGTGGTGGATTATAGCGGTCATCATACCAAATTCCTACACCGCCAACTTGGCTGCCTTCTTGACCAGTTCAAAAATGGTTAATAGTATAACTGATCTTAAGAGCCTGGTGGATCAGAATGAGGTTAAGTTTGGTACGCTGAAAGGCGGCAGTACGTATAACTTTTTCTCCGAATCCAATGAGACTGTTTACCGTTTGGCATTTGAAATGATGAAAAACGCCGAGGTCTCGGCCTACACAAAGGATAATAAAGAGGGTGTGGAGAGAGTGCTGTCGAAAGCTGGAAAGTATATGTTCTTGATGGAGACAACAAGTTTGGAGTACAATATCGAACGGCATTGTGAACTGCGCATGGTGGGTGAGAAATTTGGCGAAAAGCATTATGCTATAGCGGTGCCTTTCGGTGAGAACTTTCGTGAGTAACTTAGAAATTCCTCAATAATTTTTTTGTTTTTAATTTACGCATAGGTGCCGAATACCGTTACAATTTGAGCGTAAATATTCTAAAACTTAGTGAAACGGGTAAATTGTTCGAAATGAAGAATAAATGGTGGAAGAATAAGGATGGGGCGTGTGAAAAGAATGACGATGGTGACTCTTCTGCGATGGGTTTCGCCGAGGTACGTGGTATTTTCTACACGCTCTTCCTAGGTCTGTTTGCCGCCTACTTTCTTGGAATCTGCGAGTTTTTGATGCATGTACACAGCAGAGCCAGCGAGGAAAAGGTAAGTGCTTCTCTTATGAAAATTGATTTTACTTTTGTTTATTTGAATGTTTGTTTGTCTTGATTCAGTTGCGTTTTAAGGAGGTTTTTGTGAATGAAATGCGTTTCGTTTTGCGCATCTGGAACAATCGCAAGCCGGTCAGTTGCACACCCACTGCAAGTCTTTCGGCCTCGTCGCGCCGCTCATCGAACCGAACCATCAAGTCGTCGAAGAAGAAAAATTCACGTCAGTCTAGCTCCAGCTCTAAGGAGTTGGCTGAGTTAGCTAGCATAAAAGTTAAAAAAAACGGTAGAGTTGTGAAAGAAGATGACGTGTAGAGGCTTTCATATTTTTTTGTATGAAATATCAGTAAATGATTTAAAGCGACATAAAATTTCTCGAATTAATTTCTAGAGACTATTCGAAATCTACTACTTTTCTGTCAGCTGCGAAAGGAGAGAGTGCTTCTAGGATTCGGTTAGGAAGGTTTGAATATTATGTTTATACCAGTGATAGCAGCTTAAAAATCGTTCGTTGTTCAACAGATAAAATGTATGTTAGAGAATTTTAAATTTTAAATTTTGCTTGTCAAAATTTCTTTAGATGAATTTTACACTTTACACACATTTTTTTAAAATTGAAGAAATAAATTCAGAAAACAGGGTTCAAGTTTTTGGTCCAAATGCTCGAAAATCGATGAAGCTCGTACTCGCAAATTTTCGCGTAATGAGCAATAGAAGAGAGTGAGAGTACTCGTTATACAATACCTTAGTTCCTCGAAAATGTTCAAAAAAAATTTTGAGTTCCAGTATGTGCCGATAGTTCACGAAAACCTTAAGTTTTCACTTCCCTGCGTGGCTAAGGAAGGGAGGCTAGGATTCCAAAAGCTGTATATAATGAAGGGGTTTTCAAATAAATCTGCAGTTTTTTGACAGTGACAAGTAAAAATTACGACAGTTATAAAAATGGTACGATTCACTCTTCAACAACGCATTGAAATTTTTAAAGTTCTCAATAATAATGGTGAAAAGCTTGCAGAGACGGTTCCTAAAACTGAAACATCTTTCGCTCATCGTAAAGCAATTTGTCGGACCGCGATACAGAATTTATTGGAAAATCTGGAGCTGTTGATACAAGTGATATGAAGAATAAAACACATGCACGTCGCTCAAGGACAACATAGAATAATGGTACTGTAGCGCAAGTTGTTGAAGAAATTCCAGATTTGTTTATTCTTGGACGTTTTTTGGAATTGGGCATTCCACAAACGTCATAACACCAAATGTTTCATACGGACTTGGGTCTTAAGGTTTAGAAAATTTAGTTAATACAAGAACTCAAACCGGCTGACCGTCAACAATGTCCTGTCTTTGCTGATTTGATCCTTGAATTGCGGGAAAATTATCCGGAATTCAACCAAAAAATCTTCAGGACCGATGAGGCCCATTTCCACCTCGATGCCTACATCAACAAGCAATACGGCCACATCTGGGGCTCAAAAAAACCAGGATCTACTGTTGGAAAGCCTATCTAAAGTCTATCCTCAACTATTATTATTATTATTATTATTATTGTATTATTAATGATTTTTTATGGCAGGCATTAGATGGTGTTGATGTCGACAACATTGACTTTCAACCAGACGGCGCTACGTATCACACAAGCAACGAATGTCTCGAAGAGATGATTGCAATTGACCACTTTCTTATGATAGCACTCCTTGCAACTTCTACCTTCGTAGTCTCATGAAAGATAAGTTCAAAAATTAAACTCGTGAAGCTATTGATGGCATACTGCAGCCACATTGCGATTTGGTTATAGGAAATTTCTTAAAAAGTATACGGTCCCCTAAATCGAGCTCAGAGGTGAACGCCGGCTGAAAAATTTGGAAATGGTACTGAGCGACCACTCCATTTGTTGCGACGGCAATTTATTGAGCTCTTTGGCTCTTCAACATTTGAGGAGCAAGGGGGTTCTCCTTGGAATTCTTTGAATTTCTGGTACTGGCAAACATCTAAGCATGTGATAATGCAAGCGATCGAATATCATTTAACTGATATTATTTTCCACTGCGTTGGAAGAAACATCCAGTGTGCGACAGTATGCCTCCTAATGGAAAATATTACCAAGGTATTCAAGATAATTGAGAGCTCATGGGTTAATAGTTAAGCTTGTGAATTTATACTGCACATAATTTTGGATTGAGACGGATCTTGGTAGGGAAGTTTGTGGCGATGACTTCAATGCCAATTCCTGATGCCGTGAGGGAGAAGAAGTCAGGTTCGTTAATTGAAAAGTTTTGCTGGCATTTTTCTCCATTTAACATATATGGAATATGATGGGATAGCACATACATGATCTATGCAAGAAAGATGTTATAGCTTAATGGCATGGGTATAAAAATAGATGACGATGAAGATTATAAAAATACGTTGAGCAAAGCACAAATCTCTAGAAGCTTGATTTCTGTAGGGCCAAGTAGATAGTCGCGAGTATATAAACAAATATTTATGGATGCAATTCCTTCGTCTAGTGCTCTGTGACAATAATGTGATATCCCGCGTCTCTGGCTTCCGATATGTCGATCTACCATGCCTTCTCACCTGCCCAAAGAAAAACTTTATTAATCGCACAACTTTTTAATAACACATTTTTCTGCAGCAATGGCGACTGTGGTAGCCGAGTGGTTGGCATTGCGTACTAACATGCGGAACGCTCGGGTTCGAATCCCGGCGCCACCTACATCAAAAAGTTATGGAAAAATAATTAAAATAAAAAATTAGGTTAAATATTTTAATTGCGGTCACCCCTCGGCAATGAATGTCAACCCTACGAGTGTATTTCGGACATGAAATATAGGGTCCTCGTAAAAAAACTATCAGCCGTACGGATGCGGCTTAGTTTAAATTGTAGGACCCTCCATTTGTTGGAAAGATATTTAGATGCCAAAAAACAAATTGGAGAAGGAGCTCGGCCGAAAAATCGCTTCAGCGGCTACAAAGCGTCAATTTTATATATAATGATTTTAGGAAAGGGATTAGAAATTTCACACTTTAAAATTGCGGTTTGAATTTTGAATTTGAACGATTAACTTTCATTTTAAGTTTTACTATGTTTTTAAAATGCTTTCGAGTGAAGAAATGTTAAGGAATGATTCAGATTCTTCTAAATATATATTTTTAATACCTTCTAATTTTCAAAAGTTAAAGAACATGAATTTAGCATACTTATAATGGTCATTACCGTATCCTTCCCACACACTTCGCATAAACTGCATTGACAGCCATTGATGTGTATAATTTATTTACAGCCACGCGCACATTTTTTAATGTCAACACCGGCGGCTCATTGATAAGGCACAATGCTTGTCAAAGCAGCTATTTACAGCACTAAAGCATTTGCCGCATTCCAAACCAGCAAGTCCATAATATGGCCACTGGGAAGAGCTTACGAATATATTTTCCATTTTATTTTATGCCTTCTTTCGCTTGCAACCCGTCTCACTTCGTGGTTTTTTTAAAGTGTCGCTGATCGATTGGGAAAGCTGATTGAGTGAAAAGCCCGATGTGTGCTGCTTTTATTGTCAAATACTTTTCGAAACATTCGTATAGAAATTGGGAATATGAATTGATACATAAGAGAGAGAAACCAGCACATTTGAAAATAGGTGGCTCTCTGCGGACACCTTATAAAGCGAAATTTTTTTTGTGACTAACAGAGTTAAAAAGTTTTAGCTTAATTTTTTTTTTAATAAAATTAAGAAATTTTTTTAATGTATTGATTTTTATTTGTGATAATTTGAATACTTTGAAACAAAAATAGAGGTATTTTATATATATAAATTTATAATTATTATTCCTAAATATTATTTTTAATTTTTCATGAGGTGTTAGAATCGCCAATCTACTCTGTGCGCTTACTCTGCAGCATACCATATGCACCTGGCTGCGGGAGAAGCAGCTTTCTCTCATGTCTAGTCCTACTACCGTAAGACCCTTAACTTTTGCATTATATATGGCTATGTGAATCAGACTCTGACCATTGGGTAGCTATGCTTCTTCTTCTAACTTCTCTTTTCTTCTTTTCGTTTTTTAGAGCCAAGTTTAGATACCCAATACAGCCAGGTCGTAGCCGCTGTTTCTTTATTCGCTGAACTATAACAATATCATCGTATAGCTCGTACAACTCATCATTCCATCGGCTGCTGTATTCGACGTTCCCAACTTCAAACGCCAACTTATCAGATAATGTCATCGCGCATGGCTTTGCCCCATATACTGAGGCGCGTATGAAGAGCGGCTTGCAGAGCTTGTTTTTTGTTTGTCGAGAGAGGGCTTTACTTTTCAGTTGTTTACTCAGTCCAAAGTTGCATCAGTGATTCTGAGCTAGACTGGCTGACATTGTTGTTGGGGTTAATATTGGATTGAAAATAGACCAGGTTATCTACGTCTTCAAATAAATAAATGTCAACAATGACATGGGAGCCGAGTCGCTACTAGTTTACAAACAAAAATCTCAAATCTGAACAAATCGGCTGTTTGAGGGTTATATTTTATTGTTTTCCTATTACGATGATTTTCAGTACTAATATACAGCCTTGGCCAAAAGTATTAGGCACTACACTAAAATACAAGTATCAAATGTGGCTATCAAGTTACCACTTCAAAGTTACCACTTCTGGTTTCATAAATGGGTGTTTAACTGTTGATTAAACAAATAAATTGTGTAATTTTAATTGTTATTTTTAAGAAATTCATAAAATATTTTCGCATTTAAAATAAATTATAAAATAAATTAAAATATATTTAGTACATATTTACCGAAATGCTTATAAAAAGTGAAATTAGTTACGATGATAGAGTTAGAATTCAAGTTCTAAGTTCAGAAGGTAAATGTCAGGTTGACATTGCCAATTTGGTGCGCAGTCCAATGTGCTATCAGGCGATATGTGGAGACGAAATCCCATGACCGAATACTTACACGCGAGCCTCTCAAGGATCGCACAAAATCTTCTTCTTCCCTTGCAGCTGCCCCTTCGGATGAATTTAGTAAACCAGTTAGTGCTCGAACAGCTAGAACAAGACATCTGGAAGCAGGCTTAAAAGCATATGAGCCCCAAAAGAAGCTGTGGCTTTCATAAAAGAATAGGAAAAATCGTTTGGAATCGGCTCGCCGATACCAACGGAAGAAGATTGGTCGAATGTTCTGTGGTCTTACATAACAAACTTCAAGGTTAGCTTAGCTAAGATCGTTTTAAAGTATTAACAGCTATAGCTTCTTACCCTAGAGAAATTTTGAGGACGTAATGCAAATCATATCAAAACAATATTTTTTTTTCTACAGATATTTGTCGTTCGTGAGACGAC